GGACTCAGGAATTGTTGCAAAGATGAAAAATGTTGGTCACCAAGACATTTTGTTTATACACTTCATTATACATCGTGAGCAACTTGCAGTGAAAAAAATGTTCCCAGAACTACATGAAGTATTATCAGATGTTATTGAAATTATAAATGAAATTTGTCACAAGGCACTCAATTCTCGAATATTTGAGGCACTTTGTGAAGAAATGGGTTCCCATTATACTCACCTTCTTCACGCTGAGGTGAGATGGCTGTCGAGGGGAAAGATATTAACGCTCTGCAGGAAGAAGTCAAAATATTTTTCCAGTGGCAAAATAATCTGAAAGTATAAGAACTCTTCTCCGACGATGAGTGGGTAGCCAAACTTGCTTACCTGGCAGATATTTTTTCACTAGTAAATGAACTAAACATATCCTTGCAAGGACAACTTAAGGACATGTTAACACTACGAGGTAAAATGGATGCTTTTCAAAAGAAAATATTACTGTGGCAAATGTGGTTGGCTGAAGATCTGCAAATGTTTTCAAACTTTGATGAATATATGAGAGAGAAGGATCTCAACCGGCAGGTGGTACTAGTAACCCTTGTTCAACAGCACTTACAATCACAAAAGCTTCATCAATCTATCACCTGATGATAGTCTCAAAGCTAAATTCCAGTCATCTTTATCAAGACCTCATTTTTTGGATCTTCATTAAAAATGAATACCCATTGCTGAGTGAAAAAGCAATGAAAATTTTGATTCAATTTTCAACCACATATTTGTGTGAAAAAACATTTTCATCTGTGAGCAATTAAAACTCAGAGCTGGTCTCGGCATGAAATAAATACAGCTCTCAGTATTGCAGTAATATCATTGGAGCTAAAAATCCATAAACTTATTTCAAGCAAACTTAGGCAAATATCACTGTAAAATTTGTAATAATTAAATAAGCTTCAATTATTTCATAAAAATTAAACTTACTTGAATAAATTAGAATTAAACTAAGATTTTGTTATGATTAAATAAGTATAATGTTGTTATATTAAATAGGTGCTTTTCATATTAATAAAATGGAAGTTCTCTCATCATTTTACAAATGTAGTTATCTTTTTAAAAAATCATATTAGTGGTCCGCAGGACTTAAAACTATGAATTTATGGTCTGTGAGATCCAAAAGTTTGGCAACCACTGGTACACACTGTGTCCTGAAAGATGGTGCCCCATCCTTAGCTGATAGCATTTCTGTGTTGGCAGCCCATCCATCCTTCACAGGCCATCCATCCTTCTCTCTGTTCGTGCTGGATCTCCTTGATCGTATAGAATGAAATAGGGCTATGGTCATGACTCCTTTGCTGTGTAAGGGGTCCTTTGGTCTGATACGATGTTATGTGGGATCTAACACAAGATAGTGGTACTGGCTGAGGCCCTACAGGCAGAAAAAGCAAACCATACCCAGAATGTGATACCTGCAGTCAAAATAAATTGCTGCCATTTCCATGATGGATGGTATCAGATGTAGTCATCTTGTCATTAAGTGGCTGGTTTGCTTTTCTAGAGGAAGATAGCTATTTGGCAGGAGGTGTGTGGGGGGGGGAGGGGGGGGAGGACGACCAGGGAAGAAGGGCAGCACTGAATTTGTTGCTGGCAGGTTGGACATTCAGCAATGGCAGATCTCTTTCAGCCTTTGTGAATGGAGCCCATGCTCTGGGGTCCATGTATGGCTCCTATCTCTGCCACCATGGCTACTCCATTCATGTTCCCATTGTGCCAGTGATGAGATGGCCAGTAGCATCTGACATTAATTGGTGAGTCATTCTATTTAGTTGTTCAATGCCTCTTTCAAGAAGATGCATCTGGAGGGCATCCACACATTTCTTTCCCACCCACATAGTCCATCCACTCAGCCCTCATCTTTAAAAAAAAAAAAAAAAAAAAAAAAAAAAAAAAAATTTATTGATTTTTTTTTTTTACAGAGAAGAAGGGAGAGGGAGAGAGAGAGAAAAACATTGATGAGAGAGAAACATCAATCAGCTGCTTCCTGCACAACTCCTACTGGGGGTGTGCCCGAAACCAAGGTACATGCCCTTGACAAGAATCAAACCTGGGACCCTTGAGTCCCAGGTCAAGGCTCTATCCACTGAGCCAAACCAGTTAGGCAAGTCCTTATCTTAGAATATCTAGAAAGATATTCTAATCTTTCTCCTCCCAGGACCTGGTCAACCAGCCAAGCCAACAGCTAGTGACATGAATTCGTATGTATTCTAACCATGGCTACATTTCTGTTCATGCCAAGTGAATGACCAGATACACCAATGAGAAAATTTATCCATTGGGAGAATTTCCCTTGCCACTGTCTTTCAAGATCACCCCAGAGTGGAGCTATAGTAAAGCCATCATTCATTTTTGGCTTACAGACATACCATTCGGACATATCAGTAAATCAAGCTTTGCTTTTTCCCCGCCTCCTTGGTCAGCTGGTCATAAGGGACCCAACTCTTATGCAGTCTTATGTGTGAGCTAAGGGAGAAGTGTTGGAGCAAAATGGTAGGTGATATGGATGTCTAGGCCATTTGCTGAGTATTTTATCAGTATCCTGGCCCTACTCATGCCCAATTCTGGATGTACCAGTTCTGTCTTACTATGGGTTATTTTTGGGCCTCTTCAACTTTATGTTTTGGTAATTTAGTAGGCAGAACCTAATTTAAATAAGATGAGCTCATTTTCAACCACATATTTGTGTGAAAAAGCATTTTCAACTTAAAAATATACAAAGGGAGCCGAGACCTGCTTGGCTCAGTGGATAGAGCATTGGCCTGCAGACTGAAAGGTCCCAGGTTCGATTCTGGTCAAGGGCATGTTCCTTGGTTGCGGGCACATCCCGAACAGGGCGTGTGCAAGAGGCAGCTGATTGATGATTCTCTCACTGATGTTTCTAACTCTCTATCCCTCTCTCTTCCTCTCTGTAAAAAATCAATAAAATATATTTTTAAAAAATATATACAAAGGGAATTGCATTTTTCAATATTGTTCTGGAACACACAAGCGAGTTTGTTGACAATGGATTGGGAGGTTAGGCTAGAGAGTACTGTTAGGGTCTAAACAAAAAAGTGGTTGAGAAAATGGTATAGAAGATATTAATTTTTTTAATTTTAAGGAGGAAGAAGTGGTAGATAGATGCAGAAATGGAGACAGCAAGTATATTTATGCTATCCTTTTAAAAACAAAATCAGAGCTGTGAAAGAAAAGAGAAGGGGTGGTATCTGGACAAAAGAAGAGTTAAAATCTCATTTTTTTCAAAGATATTTGATGATAGGCTTGATTGTATTTATGTACTAAGAGAAAGAGGCAGTAAAGATGGAGGCAAATGGAAGGATTGGAGGAGCTCATTTTGATAAACAAAACAGATTAAAAACAGGAACACAACAAAAAGACCAAGCAGAGTGCTAAGCTTCTTTTAATCAGGAAGCAGGACAGTAGGAAAGTTCAACCTTTCTGCCAACTGCCCCCTCCTGGCCATCTTACCATCGCTGAGAAAAAGCCTAGCAACATAGTGTCAAATACTACTTGCTGTTATATATCCCTTTCTCCTTTCCTGCTTTCAAGGGAAAATAAACATCAATACCAACCCCCAGAGTAAAATCAGACAGCCTGGATAGGATAGATATAAATTTCAGCTCCCTGTAAAAGCATGATTTTCTTGTTCTCTTTTTGGAAAAATGTATTTTATTAAAAACATCTAAAATTGCTCCACTAGATGGAGTAAGAGAAAAATTTCTAATGCATTGCCTTGGAATGAGCACAGTCCCTTTAACATCAAGATGTCCTTCTCGATATTTTATCTGTCTACAAGGTACTTATTATAATATAAGTGGAAAAAAACTAGAAACAATTTAGTGTAAGGTTTTCCTATTGGGCACTCAGCAGCTTCATTTTTATGAGGTTAGCGACAGAGTCGTTGAATGCCCTTTGAGATCACTTAGCCAGGCTTCTCATGAGAGCTGCAAAGTAGGTTTTAGGAAACCTGTTCACCCCCTCAAGCTGGTGCCTTTGGGTCACTAGGAGGCGGGCAGGTACTGACCCAGAGTAAATGCAACAAACCCCAAAGGGCTCCCGCTTTTCCAGACTCAGGAGGGCCACCTGCCCACGTGGCTCTCCAGAGTGCGGGGCTCTAAGGCTGTCCTCCCTGATTTGCAAAGATTAGACTCCGACCCCCCCCCCCCCGACCCCCCCCTCCGGGGAACTGTCTCCGCGTCCCAGATATTCGGGGACAACCAGAGGGGAGGCCGAGAATGGTGTGATGGCCACTGCCGCCAGGCCAACACTACCGCAACTAACTGAACACCCCAGAGCCTCCACAGAGACACGCCAACGCCCCTTCCCACCCAAACCTCAAACTAGTACTAAGTGCCTAGTAAGTGCGGCTACGCAGCACCGAGCCGATTCCTAAGGCGCCTGGCCACACCCATTCCTCCGCGGGGCGGGGTCGGCAGCTCGAAAATGGCGGCGGCGGGGCCGAGGGTCGTTCCCGGAGCGCCCTTGACTAGTTCCCATTCTGCGCCACCTACCTTGCTAGAGAGAAGCCCCGGCGCGTGCGCGAAGGGGCGGGAAGGAACGGTTACGAGCACTTGCTGCGGCCAATCAGCAGCGAGGAGCCCGGGAGGCGCCCAATTAGAGCACGGGTTGCAGAGAGGCGTGTAGGTTGTAAGTGGGCAGCGTGTGTGGCGGGTGAGGAATGCCAGGGGTCTAGTCGTCTGCCTCGCTGCTCCCCGCGCGCTCCGCCCTGCGGCCCCGGTAGCCGGCGTGAGGACACCGAAGAGGCTGGTACCCGCCGCCCACCAGGTTCCAATCCCCGGCCCACGTCCGCTTCCTGCAGCGGTCACAGGCCGCCGCCTCAAAGTGGACCCCTCCTCACCGGTTGCCGCAGAGAGACATGGCAGGCTTGGCGTTGACCAACTAGGAGCGTCGGCAGGAGCCCGCCGAGACCTCGAAGACTCCTCTGTCCGGGGCGTCCGGCTGGCGGCATGTTCCCGCGGAGGCTGGTGGGAGCCGCGGCTGCAGCGGCGGCGGCGGTGGCGGCGGCGGGCGCCGTGCCGCGGGGCGGGGGCCTGCTCGCCCTGCTGGCCAATCAGTGCCGCTTCGTGACGGGCCTGCGCGTGCGTCGCGCACAGCAGATCGCGCAGCTCTACGGCCGCCTCTACTCGGAGAGCGCGCGGCTGGTCCTCCTGGGCCGCCTGTGGCGCCGGCTGCGGGGCCGAGCTGGCCATGTCTCGGCCGTGATGGCGGCGGTTGCGGGCTTCGTTTGGGACGAGGAGCGGATCAAGGAGGAGGAGCTGCAGAGGTAGGCCCTGCTTTGGGGGGGAAGGAGGGGGGACGGTGGCGCGGCCCCGGATGGTAGGGCGGGACCTTGAACCTGGGGCCGCACCCGGTAGTCCTTGAAGCGATGTTGCAGTAGCTGGCTCCGGTTTTAGCAATCCCCGATGTTGTTGTTTTTACTTTCCTCTGTTAACTTGATTTGTCCGGCTGGAAATAGCAGGTCGTGTAGGTTAATGTAGGGAGAGACTTGGAATGGGGAGCAACAAATAATATGAGGTGTGTAAGGCACTTGTGTGCACCATCGTTAGCCTAATTTTGAACACACCCAGAAAGGTGCAAATTCAAGGTTTCAAGTCTGACGTAAGGGGATAGACATGCAGTTCACAAAGTGGCTTCATTCAAAGTGGGACTTGGTCAGAAGTGCCAGGAGAACTCTCATCATTGTGACTTTTGTGGGAGAATGATGAAGCTGGAAATGATTTTGCCCACCTGTCACAAGCCAATAGTCCAGACACTTGAACCTATAAGAATTAGGTCAGTGTTTTACTACTATTGTGACTAGGACTTTGAGAGTACTGTTTCACTAGCTCTGAAATTGTGCTATTAAACCTCTGCGTGAAAAGTGCGTGTCATTGATTGAAGTTGTCAACCTGTGACTCGAAATCGGAGTCCTTATAGTTTTCAAGTAATATCCTAGAGAAGCCTTTGCTTCAGCTCTTGCTTTACATTGTCTCTGTATTTTCTTTTTAACGAATATTCTTAAACTGGTCTCTCCCTCCACCACATACTCTGTGCCCATTGAACTATGTAACTGATTTCAGGAACCTAGAACAGCCCATCCCCCCTTCCCGCCGTAAATCCCATGCAAGTCTGTTTACTCCAGATATTTCTTCTGTTATTTCACATTTTTAGTTTGGTTAGAAATGGAAATACTTAATTAAGGTTAATATTGTGACCTGTTTGGAGGTGTAGCGCACAGATGCCAGGCATATTTGTGCAACACTGTGAGTTGTGGGTATTGCAAGTTTACCTTAAGAATTGGTAACTTTTCCTAGCAGGGATGATGAGTGTTTTATACATGCAATTTAAAATCATAGCTACAAACAGTCTTATTCACAAAAAAAGTTAAGATATCAAAGCATGATTGGTAGTTTGCTTATTTTTTGTTAGTATTCTTTTGCTGCTTGGCCATTTCTAATGTAGCAGTCTCAGGTGTAACATATAAAGGGAACTTTTAAATTGAGAAATTATCCATTAGCCGTTTGAATTTTCATTTTGTCTTTGAGGATGAAATACACTTGTTCCATAGTGGTGAAGTTTGTGGGGAAATTCCCGTTGGATCTCTTTGGGAAAGAGGAGAGAGACCAGAAAAGGGCTACTGGGTACAAAAGAGAGGGAAGATGTTTTGGGCGTGGGAGTTAAAGGGTGTTGGAGCCTAGGGGGCAGATGACATTCTTTGCTTACTCCATGTGTTTTTATGGAGAAATGGCCTGGAGTCTCTGTTTAGTAGATCCCCCTTATTTGCAGGAGTTAGAGGGGAAAATTAGATAGGAAATCAAAGCTGTAAATATTTGGATTTAGTAGTTAAAACTATCCACTGGAGCAGAAAGATCAAACCAGCTGATAGCTAGACCTAGTGTTCATTCCTTTTCCCTCTCTTCTGGCTGTTTTTGAAAGGGGGAGGCAGTTGAAATAATCTTGGTTCTAATCCAACTCCTAAAAGAGGTATTGCTCTGGGTTAACCCGCCTGAGAATTTCTTAAGCTTAGGTGAACACTTAAGGTGCCTTTTGACCCTCTCCAGGGTTGTTAACAGTAAAGGTCCTCATCTACACTTTATTGTCCAGTTCATGCTTCAGTTCCGTCATATGCTTAAAATTTGATCAAGTTACCCATTTTGAGGATTTTTAAAAAATATTTGTTATCTTGATAGGGAGGCAAATAATATGCTATTCAATTACAGTAGTTCCATGGATCTTTATTCTAATAAATTCTCATATTTATATTTCATTTAATACAATATTCTGGGTACAGGTTAACTTCTTTAGCCGAGTGTTTGCTTTAACAGAGGCACTGCTGAGGTTGTCATAGCTAGAAAACCTTAGGTTTTTGTTCTGGTGAGGTGATTTGGGGTAGCTTCATGGAACAGTTGAATGTGCCTCCGGACAAGTGCATTTCTTTCATTGTTAATGGAAGAAGAGAATAATTGTTCCAGGGCCCTTAAATCACAGCCTTTAGCTCTTCTGTGCTGTTTCTATACCAACTTGAGCTGGTACAAACTAATTCAATGGCTGCTGTCTTGGTTAAACAGTGATGGAGTGTGCAGGGTATCTCTGCTTTAAATGTGTGCTTTACAGTGGCTCATGTTTTCTTATGTTATTTGAGTTTCTACTCGGAATGAAAAAGAATAATCTTGCTTTCTATTCTTTTGTGTTCAAGATCATTTTAATAATAAATAACATTTCATTAATCTAGCAACAGGAATAAAATTTGGGAAAAGAAGGACACCAGATGTAAAAATCAAGCCTTTTAATGCTTGGTGTCTAGTATTCTAACCCACTTAGCTTTAATTAAACCAACAAAACAGTTTACTATTTTTGGTGCTACCTTGAATTCTGTGAGTCCAGGGCAAATCTTATGGAAAAAACACAGTAGTATTTTTTTAATGGATTTTTATGGATTTTTAGAGAGAAAGGAAGGGGGAGAGAGAGAAATATCAATGAGAGAGAAACATAGATTGGCTGCCTCCTGTACCGGGGATCAATGCCTGCAACCCGGGCATATTCCCTGACCTGGAATCAAACCTGAGGTTTATGGGTCGACACTCAACCACTGAGCTGTACAGGTCAGGGGATAGTAAATTTTGATTGCTTTGAAACATTAAGAAAAAATTACAGGAACAAAAAGAGGAAGGAAGTTAAGAAATATGCAAGGCTAGGGGAAAATCTCCCATTAACCTCCCCTCTTTTTAAAAAGTTAACAGTTCTTCACTCTAGAAATTTGAGTAAATAACTGCCAGTAAAGTTTCGTATAGAAAAGTGACTTGTTCTCATTTTTGCCTTTCAGGGCGTTCAGAATACTTTTCAGTATGCTAAGATAAAAACGATCAACAAAATGTCCTTTTGGCTTAAATAATTTTTTTAAACCACTGTCAGGAGGTATTTTACTGATATACCCTTCTTATAGAACTACATAAAAGCTTACTTGAACTTTTTAATATTCTCTTCACTATTTACCATTAGCCATTTGGCCCAGAATTGCAATGAGGTAGTTGATGTCTTTTATTTCTAGGTGAGTCCCATAACAGCTATACTTAAAAGTCTCTAATTTTGACAATATGGAATTTGAGGAGGAGATTATGTGAAATGAGTCAGTTGTCTTGAATGGTTGGCTTCATTTGAGTCATTTTTGAGTCTTGTTTCAAACTCTACACTGAGGGCGGGACCCCATAGATGAACCAACCACGGTTATACTTACTCTTCTGTCTAATGTCTTTAATTTTCATAGCTCTCAGTCCAGCCTTTCTCAAATATCGAGCCCACTTCAGTTTTGGAGAAAGGAAAGAAGCATTGACTATCTTTTCTTGATCCTCTTAGCAATCTGCTGATTCTGTTGCTATTTTTGGAATAATCTTTTTTGTCCTTATTACTTGTTTAAGTCTCTTAGATAACAAGGTGTAGACATTTAGCCTGCCCAAATGAGATTTGGGACAGCGGGCTACACAGATATGTTAGTGAGAGGTTTTCCTTCCTTTGCATACAGGGTATTGAGTGGCTTGGTGCACCTGGATCTGTCATATCAGCATTTAGCATTTGATACCTTTCAGAGATGTTGAACCTGGGGAGGTAATCATTTACCTTTTCCTGATGCAGTCTTGCTCCAGCATTCATATTGTGCTATTCAAAGAATAAATGTTATTTGTTCACAGGTCATTTCTTGTCCCCTGTAGGAACTTAGTCTCATAATTTTAATGAAAGGCCACTTGAGTTATATGGTTCAGAGCTCTGTGCCACCTGGAGTCTTAGGAGGCCATTAAGCTTATAGTTCTGTAGTTTAATTTCTCAAAACCTTATTACTGTGTAATTTAGTGAACCTCTGATGTACTTTTAATAAGATATCCCTGCTTGTCTTTATAATGTGATAAGAATGACGTTTGGGAGTGTTGTTTATTTTAATTATAGGATTTACTAGTCCTGAAAAGTGGCCATGTGATACCTGACTGGTTCTCTGAGCAAGCCTAGCTGTGGTTATGCTTTTTTCCTTTGCAAGATCTTATTGCCTACTCTAGCGTTCCTTTTCTATTTCTAAACCTGATTGCAGTGGTGGCAGTCAATCCTATTTTTCAACTTTTAATTCAAATTAAAACTTTTCTAAAATGGTTAATATGCCGGCCCAAGGGTTCGGTGAGCCTGAGGGGAATGGATGTGTGTGTGAAGGATTAAAAAGACACACAAAGAGAACGAGCTGGGGCTGGATGGATCTCCTGTGTCTGGCTGAGGCCACAGAGGGAGGGAGATCAGCAAGCTGAGCCTTTATTTTATAGTCAGAGGTAAACAAGATAGTGGTCACCGTAGTTACAGCGTTCTTGTGAGCTTCACTTGTTTTGCTAGCACTTGCTGCACTCCCACAGCCCATTAGCTACCCTGGAAGGATCTAGGGAGCTCATAAGGTCAAGCTTAATTATTTTTAAGCTGAGACTTGTTTGTGGCTTTGCCAAAAAGTCAGTCCAAGGTTTAACCCTATAGCTGCTCCCTACAGGTTAAACCTTTTATCAGAACATCAGTATAAATAAAAGGTTCTTGTTTGCAAACAAAGAAACCAATATTGGTTAATTTAAGACAAAAGGGAATTAATCAGAAAGGTATTAGGTTATACAAAACATTGGTAAGAATGCCAAAGAATAGGTTGACCAAGAGAACTGCCAAGACCATCTAACTTTAGGAATGATCTTAGGTTCATTGCTGCTGATTTTGTTTTCCATGGACTGGTTGCACTACTGCACTCTCATCTCCCTCAGGATCATTGAG